ATGTCTCGGGCTCTGTTTCTCGCAGCCCCTCGGCACAACCCGGCCTTAAAGCCCGGGAAGGGGGCAGGCCGAGGCCGTCACAGCGTTGGGCACTTGTCGTTCCCATTGTTTGGCCTCAGCGTTAAAGCTTAAGGAGATGAAAACGAGAATTTGATGTGAGGGAACAAGTGCTGGAAAGTGCCACCAGTCCTTGGCGTTCTGTCGTAACTTTTTTTATCCGTGCAGTTCCAAAAAAGCTTCCAGGCTCTCTATGGATCCTTTCTCCTGCCTGAAACCCTCAAAAGGGTAAGCAGCAGCTGTGAAACGGCACGTGCAGCCGTATCATTTCGAAATGGGAAAGGAAGAATGACAAACTGGGGAAGGTGACAGGAACTCGCTGTCCCGTCAGCCACGGAGCAGCCGGGCTGTTGGGGGAACACGCCAGAGCCTGCAGCTCCTCCACCAGGGGTTTCCCAACTTTTTGTTATCACCCTATTTCTGTCATTCCTGGGAGATCTCCAGCTTGATTTCTGTGGAGTTCGCGTCCCGTTCCAGGTCTGACCCTGGAGCTGCAGCTGGTCGTTAAGCAGAACCGTCTCGCTGGTGCTTTGCCTCCCGGTCAGACAGCCGGAGGGGGGGGAACGGGGTGTGAGGCTGGGCTCTCCCTCTCCCCCAGGGGTGCTGGGTGCCAGGGCAGCAGCTCTCGGGGTGCGCTGGGGTGAGGCTGCCGTCCTCGCACAGCCTTGGCCCGAGAAATGTTTGACCTCGAAGTGTCCTTAACTCTGCCTTCACGTATATGGTGATGGAGTACTGCGTGTGCGGGATGCAGGAGATGCTGGACAGCGTCCCCGAGAAGAGGTTTCCAGTTTTTCAGGCTCACGGGTAAGTGCGGTTTTGTTCCTCGGGCTGCGTTAGCCCCTTGCCGCTGCGCTCTCTCAAATTGGAGAGCGTGTTCTGCTCTGTTGCTGAGCCTGCTGGCTGCACTTTAAAGTAGAGCTGGCTTGGTGTAATAACTGTAACTGCATCTTCAACATCCGTGGAAAACATGAAAAACTAGTGAGCGGTGGCAGGGATAGCCCTCAGGTTCTGGGAATTAAAATCACCTTTCTATTGAATTCTCTGTTACTTTTTTTTTTACTTCACGAGGTACATGACAGCCCTTCCTGGCTCCTTTCCTACAGCTCTGCTGCTCAGCGGAGGGATCCGTAAGGACTTGCCCTGCCTAAATGAAGGCAAGCATTCGGTGTCCGAAAAGGGATTAAAGGTCTTTGGATGGATTAAGGATTGGCAATAGCCAGCCTGATCTGTTGGCTTGTTTGGTTAGTAGGCAGGATCAGCTGAAGCCTCTTTCACTCTGCAAGTAAAGGAACCTTAGAATTCTGGAAAGAGAAGCAAGAAGACTGTCGTGTATATCGGATCAGTGCAGGGTGGCAAACCTGTGGTAACGGTGTAATTTATGATCGTGTTTCCCTTTTGTTTAAAAAAGGGCTCTGAGATCACAGGTAGCCTAAGGGAGGTACAGGCACATGAAGTCAAGTATTACTTCTGGGTATTATGAGATAAAAAACTTGGTGCACAGTCATCGCCAGGCCGTCAGCGTTTGATGCCTTAGCCTAGACTAAAGCAGGTGTCAGAATTAACGCCCAGCTCTGAGCCAGCACCGTGCTGGGCACTGAGGAGCGACGCAGGATTGGGAGGAGCGGCCCGGAGCACGTGCTGCAGAGCTCTGGCGGGTAACTTGTGGCTTTGTCAGCAGATGCAGTGCTGTTCCCTTATATGTCACAGCTCAGGCTCAAGTTCCTCGTCAAAGGTTCATGTATTTCCAACTTGTTTCCAGTAACAGCACCCTTTGCTCTGTGTGTTACCAGCGGTTCATGTAGTTTCAGTCTATGGATGAAGTGCTTGACTTCTTTTTCCCCTCTGACTCTTTCTGCAGGTACTTTTGTCAGCTTATAGATGGCTTAGAATACTTGCACAGCCAAGGGATTGTCCACAAGGATATCAAACCGGGGAACCTCCTGCTAACAACCAACGGGACACTGAAAATATCCGATTTGGGCGTAGCAGAGGTGGGTGAGAAGTGCAGCAAAGTCAAGAACGTGGGAAGCGCGGCGTTCCAGATTTAGATTGCCTTTCGTGGTGCCAACTGATTTATTGCGCATTTAGGCCCTTGTTCTGTGAAACCTGCAGAGCGCTCCAGAGTGACTCTGAGTATTTATTGCGATTGGCAAAACTCGTTATTGATGACAGCACAAAACTCCCACTCGGGAAGCGTCTAGAGGAAGCCATCAGTCTTGGGCGAGCCGGCACGGGTGGCGACGTGGCGATGAGCTGCCGAGCCTTGCCCTCCTGCTGGGCAGGAGAGGTGCAGGAACTGGTGCTGCTGGCATGTAGCTGCTGTAGTGGCCAGTTCTCGTGCTGTGTCAGTAGATGCTCAACAGCAGAGTTTTGCCCTTTTGTGAAGCTTCTCTGACAGTTCCGATGTGTTTGCCTTGGAGATTTGCAGCTAACGGGTCTCTCCTGCCGCAGGCGTTGCATCCGTTTGCCGAGGACGACACGTGCAGAACGAGCCAAGGGTCGCCAGCATTCCAGCCACCAGAAATTGCCAACGGCCTTGACACCTTTTCAGGCTTTAAAGTAGACATCTGGTCCGCAGGGGTCACGCTGTAAGTGCCCCCGCAGCGGCAGCACAAGCTCCCCAGCAGCTCGGCCTGTGCTCTCTGCTGCCGCCGCTCGTTGGGGGAGCGAGGAGGGGGGAGCGTTGGTCCCATCGTGGGGTGGGTTTCTGTTCCCTGACGTACTTGGGATTCTGAAGAAAGTCGTCGCTGCTCTCGCTGGGTAACTGCCAGCCGATTCTCCGCATCTGAGACGCACAACTACTGTAATAATAGAAACCACAAATTTCTTTAGTATTTATTTTTAAGTTTCTTCCATCCCAGCCTGTCAGGGGGATGTCTCGGTGGTTTTGACTCGTGGAGAGGCTGTGATGAAGGAAGGCTGAGTTTAAAGAGGCATTCCAAATACTGCCAAATACTCATATTTTCGTTTCCTCTTGGCTCCTCTTGGTTCGCGTAGTCACGTAAGAGCTGAGCACCTGTTCTGTGTGCGTTTTCTGATACAGCTTCTTCTGCCTTTACAGATACAACATCACAACGGGTCTATACCCCTTTGAAGGGGATAATATCTATAAATTATTTGAAAACATCGGGAAAGGTGACTACACAATTCCAGAGGATTGCGGTCCTCCGCTCTCGGACTTACTGAGAGGTGAGTGTCCCAACTGACTCTGAAAGGGTAGAGTTTACCGATGCCACAACTGCTCAGCTTGCGCAGCACTGGGGAGAGCTTCCTCCCAGGGTCCTGTTGGACTGGGGAGAGCTTCATCCCAGGGTCCTGTTGGAAGGGGACATTTCACTTGTCAACCTTACAGGACCCGGAAAGATCTTTAACACCGCTATTTCCCTGAGATACACTGAACCCTGCATGGGTGGCAGTCACTGCTCTTCGCAGAGCTGGTCCTTGTGTTACACTCTGAGAAGTGTTTAGATCTAAAGACACAGCCCATGAGGTTAAATTGGGGATGGCGCTGTAACACCGGTGCAGGTTCTGCAGGTGAGAACGCTCAGTTCAGTCCCTTGCCCAAACTTTCTCTGCTGTGCGGGGCCGAGTCCTCGGGCTCTGCTGCCCTTCCTCGTCAGCCTCTGCTCTGAACTGACTTGCTTCGGTCCCTGCTGTTGTCTCCTTCCCTCCGAACTCAGAGTTGTGATGGTGTTGGAGCGAAATGACTGGAGCCCACTTTTGCAGCAGGGCTGTGGTTAGACAGGAGCAGCGCGCTCTGGGTAGGAGGAGAGGGCTGTGGCTTTTTTTTGCGTGCAGTAATTTTTGTACTTTTTTTTGTTCCCATCACTGAGGTTTAGGGCTGAACAGTCTCTGCTTTTGAAAGCCAAGCATTGCGGGCAGCGGTTACGCCGTGCGTGGCAGCCAGCAGGGCGATGCCGCTTTGGCAGCAGAGGGGACGTGACCCCGACCAGAGCAGCGAAGCAGCTGCTGTGGCGGCGCTGCCGGCCCTCGGCACGGGCGTGTTCTCTCCTTCTTCGTCTCCAGCAGTTTGTGACAGATCGGACCTCAGACCTGAAACGGTGCTGCCTTGTTTCGAGTTGGTTTTCCTGCTGTGCTGTGCGGGGTGAGGAGGTCGGTGCAGGGCGCT